ACGCCGTTCAGGAACAATCCGTTGCAGTCCTCACCGCCCGCAGAAGGACGCGGTCGAGTAGGTTTCTTAGTCGTGCGATGGAGGACCTGTCTGCACGAGGGGTTTCGGCACCGCACTGTAAAGGAAAACTATCGATCGGCAAAGAAACCAGACCGAACAACGATCATGGTTTCAAATTCCTCCTCTTTTGCAGTGCTTGCATGCACACGTTTATTACTATATCTTTTTCTTCAGTATCATACTCATATGGACATATCTAAGAATTACAGAATAAAAAAGTTAAATGTTTTAGATGAGTCTTGGAACCTATAGGTAGATTTTTCCTCTTTTTCTTAATATGGCAAAAAACTTGGATGACCTTCTTGGCTAAATGGCTGTGTTAATGAATTCTGTGGTTTTTAACGCAGCCACGGTGAATCCCCATTTACTTTTCTAGTTGACAGACCTTTTCATTGTTTAACTCTTTTATGAACTTCCCGAGGGAACTTTCAGCTATTGACGTAAAAGAACGTTAGCTTCCAATTCAAATATCCACTATTGTATTTCTAACAACAATTTTACATTTAAATTTTCAATGCACCAGCTACCTTAGGAATGCAGTGTATTTATTAGCACTAGGTATGCCTTTTTTTTCATCTGAAATTTTATACAGTTGTGCAAGCAATGTTAGTTCTTTTCCATGAGCAAATGTGTATTTGTGAAAGCTATTTTGACACAACAGAGATGAGAGACAGCATTTAAAATAGGTTGCTTGTGTATATTCTGACACTTTCATTTAATGGCAGTGTAAGTGTTTTTAGCTTGCATGAAACCTCCTTCCTGGACTAACGCGCTTGTGTGCCGCCGGTGGCTTTGAGGAACCACACAATTTGAGAAACCACACTCTTGAGGAAACCACACATTTTCATATGTTCCTGTGTCTTTTCAGCGGTGAGGACTACGCTTGCTTACGTAATTTATTTATGCTAACTGTGTCAAGGCGTGGCCAAAGGAGAACAGAATACATTGTTCCTTGGATTAATGGAACCTTCTGCTTATTCAATATGACTTAACCTCAGTCTGATGGGCATTACCGTAGCCGGTCACTTTTGTGAAGGCACTAATGTGTCATTTGATATGCCGCATTTCTAAACCAACGCCAAGAGGGCTACTTTGCTGTTCTCGAAATTAATGCAATGAAAAACTAATTGCACACACATGAGGAGCATATAATTTCATTCCTTTTATGTGAAAATGAAACATGACTGGCTAGAAAATGATGAAATGCTTAATATATACAAATTACAATACCTAGCTGAAGCTTGCACAAAACAATATATTACTTCATTTTCTTTCGTAGAATATAATTTGAGTGCCTTGGAATTGTGGTATGTGAATTTGACACATTTGTGCATCATCATTCGACTCTAAAGGAATATATGAGCAATATTATTCGGACAAATTTTTTTCATCATAGGATTTTTATTGGGCTTTAGGTATGTGGGTGCCTTGTTTCTATTTACTGACTATTATTTATTAGTGGGACTGGCTTGTTAACTTGGGCTCTAACTGCACCTCCACTCATGATGAAACTATACGTTTTTCTTAAGGTTGTGTCAAACGAAGAAATGAGTCCTCAGTATTTTCTTCCCTCATTAAGTGTTGCATATTAGTTGTCACAAGACTTCGTAGTGGCACTAGGATTTTACAATGCCTTGTGTGAATAAGGATTTTGAAATAAGTGTACAATGGCAAGGTTGTGTTACTTTATAATAGATTTCACCTTCTAAAATACCTGTAAATATGTCAGTGAGTTCTTGAAAATCAACCATATCTCAAGTAATAGGAATAAACTTCAATTATTTTTTGTATGTGAGCACTTAAATTTACATCACTCATATCATTCTTATATATTTTCACGGGGTCGTGATGTGGCTGAAGGCAGGAGACTGAATGGTCAGATCAAACTGTTTATTTGAGCGAAGCTGTGTCCGGCAAACGGAAAGTCAGGTTATAGTAGCACACTTGCACAGATAGCGGAAAATGCAGCGTCGGCCGTGGATCAACCGAGAAGCGGCGAAGCTTGTCGGCATTTATACCCTTGTCACCAAATATTCTGGCGTCATTGCTAGTGGCAATGTAGGTTTCCGAATAATCTGTGACGTTTACAAAGTGGGCGTAATCTTAACAAAATGATCTATAATGCCTCGAAGCTTCTCGAACATTGTAGGCGCGGTTTGCACTGAATGTAGTGTAACGGGGTGATAACAAAACTTGAGGAAAGGAACGTGGCATTGCCTCCCTCTGAAAAAGGCATCATCCCGATGCTTTAACAAAAGATGAAGGTTCAATAATAAGGCAATAGACAATAAGTACAGCAACAACAACAAAATGCAGTCCTCAGATTCACGCATGAAATGGCTTGAGGCGCACGACATAGACGACTTCAGGTCGAGCACGACGCCGTTGAGAGTTCTTAATGCCGTCGGGAACGACTACGTAGTCGAGTGGGCCGAGACATTAAACTAGTTTGTTCGATCTGAAGTACCGTCACAGAAGTTTTTCACTGAGCCCACATCGGCGTATCGGCGTCCATACTCAGACTCTGTCCCCGGTCTGGTACTCAACAAAGCTTTGTCGAAGATTGAAACGGCGGCTGTCGGTTGACTGCTGATTCTTGATGCGCAGGTGGGCTACTTCACGAGCTTCTTCCTCACGCTGAACATAAGCGGTGACACCGAGGTTCTCTTCGTCGGAAATGTTTGGAAGCATAGTGTTGAGCGTTGTTGCCAGCTGCTTCCATAGACCAACTTGTGCGGTGTCATCTGCGTCGTTTCTTGGACGGCCGTATTGTATGTGTAGGTCACGTACGGAAGGATTTCATCCCACGCCTTGCGCTCGACGTCGACGTACATAGCCAGCATATCAGCGATAGTCTTATTAAGATGCTCGATGAGGCCGTTGGTCTGTGGATGGTAGGCGGTGGTGCGGCGGTGATTTGTCTGGCTGTATGTCAGGATCGCCTGAGTTAGGTCCGCCGTAAAGGCTGTACCACTATCAGTAATGACAATCTGTGGAGCTCCGTGACGCAGAACAATGTTCTCCACGAAAAAAGCTTGCTATCTCAAAGGCACTGTCCTTGGGGAGGGCCTTTGTTTCGGTGTAACGTGCGAGGTAGTCAGTAGCTACGACGATCCATTTGTTCTATGAATTCAACGTCAGCAATGGCCCCAGTAATCCATGCCTATTTGCTGGAACGGCCTTCGAGGTGGTTCTATGGCTGGAGAAGTCCGGCTGGCCTAGTCCGCGGTGTCTTTCATTGTTGACAATCGCGGCAGGCCCTGACATAGCGATCGACGTCGGCGGAAAGTCGTGGCAGTAGTACTTTCATTGTATTCTTGCGAGCGTACGGGAAACACCGAGGTGTCTAGTTGTTGAGTCGTCATGTGGGGCCTCGAGTACTTCTGGTGTCACTGCTGAAGGAATCACGAGAAGGTGGTCGGCTGGAAGGGGCGAGAAGTTCTTCTTTGAAAGAACTCCGTTTCGCAAGAACAACTCCAGTCCTCTCTTGAAAACATTCGCAACACTCATGCTGCTACCCTCGAGGTATTCCACAAGGCTTCTGAGTTCTGGGTCAGCTCGCTGCTGGTCGGCAAAGTCATCGGCAGTTATTTGTTCCTAAGAAGCTGTCCTCATCCAGGCTGTCGGGCAGCAGTGGTTCGATGGGGGCATGAGACAAGCAGCCGGCGTTGGAGTGTTTTCTTACTAAAGGAACTCCTTTTCTGTTGTGGAATTGTTGGCCTCGGCCTTGGATGGCGACCGTCTAGCATAACTGATAAGCTTTTTCACGCTGGTAGTCTTTTGCACAAGGACCGCGCCGAGTGCTATGCTGTTTGCGTTAGTGTGTAATTTTGTTTCGGCATATACGTGGAAGTGCGCAAGTATCGGTGGTGTTGGTGTTTGGAGGCGTTGTTTAAGTGCCTGAAATGCTTCCTTTTGTGCCGCTTCCCACTTGAATGCGACATTGCTTTCCGTGAGGTGAGTTAGCGGCTCGGCGATCTGTGAAAAACGTTTGACGAAACGCCTGTAGTAGGTGCACAATCCGAGTAATCGGCATACAGCCTTCTTGTCAGTGGGCTGTGGAAAATCGGCGATGGCGGATGTTTTCTGCGGGTCGGGACGGACTCCAGACTTGTTTTTCAGGCGTCCTAGGAACAACAGCTCCTCCTACGCGAAGCGGCACTTTCCTCGCTTCAGGGTTAGTCCAGAGGTGTTGATAGCTTGAAGTACTGCTTCGAGGCGCCGGAGATGTTTGTCGAAGCTGGAGGAAAACACGATGACGTCAGCCAAGTACTCGAGGCAAGTCTGCCATTTCAATCCAGTCAGCATGGTGTCCCTAATGCGCTGGAACGTCGCAAGCGCCGAGCAAAAACCAAATAGCATAACGTTAAACTCGAAGAGGCCGTCTGGTGTGATAAAGGCCGTCTTATTTCGATCTCTCTCGTCAACCTCAATTTGCCAATAGCCAGCTCTGAGATCCAACGAAGAAGAGTACTTCGCGTTGTGGATACTGTCCAGTACGTCGTCTTTTAATGGGAGAGAGTACACGTCCTTCTTTGAGGTTTTGTTCAGGCGACGGTAATCGACGCATAAAACGTAGGGTCCCGTCCTTGTTCAATGATACCACGGGTGATGCTCACGGACTCTGGAATGGCCCAATGATGTCATCGCATAGCATTTCGTCAACTTGTTTCTTCACGGCGTCGCGTTTGCAGTTTGAGACTCGATACGGGTTTTGTCGAACTGGTCGGGCACTTTCTTCTGTTATGATGCGATGTTTCGCGACTGGGGTTTGTCGAATTCGCGATAATAACGAGAAGCAGTCCTTGAATTGCAAGAGCAGGGACTTGAGCTGGTCTTGCTTGCACTTCGAAAGGCTCGAATTGACATCAAAATTCAGTTCAGCACCTTAATTCGTCAAAGCAGCATCGAAGAGGGCGAATGAATTGCTGACCTCCAAGTATTCGTCGATGTGGGTGACCGCCGCGCCACGGTTGAAGTGCCTATATTCGCGACTGAAAGTTTGTCAGCACTACCTTTGCTTTGCCATCACGCAGCTCAGCTATGCTTTTTGCGACGCAAATCTGACGGTTGAGAAGAAGGTGCTGTTTGCCCTCGACAAGGCCTTCAATGTGTTCGGCTTTTTCGGTGCCAATGGAAACGACGACGCTGGAGAAAGGCGGCACGGTGACCTGCTCTCTTAGCACATGTAATCGGTAATTCCTTGGCGTTGTAGGGGTCGGCAACGTGTTTTCTGAGGTTAGTGTGATTGACTCAGACCTCAGGTCGATGATAGCGCCGTGTTGACTTGGAAAGTCCATTTCAAGTATCACATCCTTAAAGCTATTTTGTAAAATCACAAAGCTCGCAGGATAAGTCTTGTTTTGATGGTGATTCTTGCTGTGCAGACTTCACTCAGCGTTATAAAGTGACCTCCAGTTGTCTGGATTTCGGGGTCTTGTCATGCAGTCCTTACTTTTATTCAACTTTGTCGCGAAATACCCACTGGCGACGGAATAGTCGGCTCTAGTATCGACAAGAGCAGTGACGAGGTGGCCGTTGAATATTGTCACAAAGACACAGGTACGCAGGCACAAAACAGGGCGTTTACTTTCATAACCCATGGGCCAGAAACGCGAACACCAGAGCACGCGCCCACAGGACTAATTCGTTATCCTCTTCAAAAACTGGCTACTATAGTTGCCAGCCTATCTTGCGTCGATTCCCCCCTTTCAAGAGCGATCGTCCCGGTCGATTGACTAAGTTGCTAGAGATGACCATAAAAAAAAATGGTCACGTCAACGAAAAAAAAAAAAAAAACCCGCGTTGTTGTGGATAATAAGGAAAAAGTTCAACGTGTTCATCACTCGCGGGCGTGGTATGTTTTCATCCGTACTACATGGACTACTTCTGAACGTGGACGTCTTCGGTTTAAACTTGTATCGGACGGAGATTTGAGAAACTTTCTCGTAATTCACGTCACTGAGGCAGCGCACAACTTTGTAAGCGCCAAAGTAGCGTCGCAATAGCTTCTCCGAAAGCCCCCGATGTCAAACTGGTGTCCACACCCATACACAGTCACCTGGTTGATAGTAGACGTTCCTTCGGCCTTAGTTGTAACGGCAAGCGTCGAAATCTTGCTGCGTGCTAATGCGGTATCGTGCAAGCTGGCGGGCTCCCTCGGCTTTCTCAACGAAGTTGTCAACGCTGTCATTTCCGCTGGTGTCTTGGTCTACTAGGAGCATAGCGTCTAACGGTGTTGTGACGCAACGGCCATAAACAAGCTCGAATGGCGTTAGGTCTGTGGCCTCTTGCTCAGCGGTATTATAAGCAAACGTGATGTACGGCAAAATTTCAACCCCTGTTTTGTGCTCTACATCAACATACAGAGATAGCATGTCGACCAGTGTTTTGTTTAACAGCTTCATCAAGCCGTTCGTTTGGGGATGATAAGCTGTTGTTTTCCGGTGGTCGGTGTGCGTCAGCTTGGTAACTTGTTGCAATAACTTGTTGCCGTAAATGCTGCTCCGCGATCGGTTATGAGAACAGCAGCTGCACCAAGACGCAAAACAATTTCGCGGACAAAGAATCTGGTGGCTTCAACTGCAGTTCTCGTAGGCACAGCTTTGGTTTCTGGATAGTGAGTCAGATAGTCGGTCGTAACGATTATCTACTTATTTTCTGAAAATGACGTAGGGAATGGACCAAGAAGATTCATTCCCATTTGCTGAAATGGTGCTCGAGGTGGATGTAAAGGTTGGAGGAAGCCGGCTGGCTATGCGGGTGGAACTTTACACCTCTGACAGTGACGGCAGTTGTGCACACAGCGCTGAACGGACGAATACAGCTGTGGCCAGTAGTAGGTACTTCTGTCGGATGCCCGCTAATGTCCTAGCAAAGCCTAAGTGACCAGCAGAAAGATCGTCGTGGCACTCCTGCAAAACTTTCTCACGCAGTGCCGTTGCAACGGCGAGAAAAGGTTCCTGGCTGCTCTCAAGATTTCTCTTGTATATAACATTGTTTCACAGGCAATACAATGTTAATCCACGTGAGAGCCGGCGTGGGATGACAACGTCTTCTCCTTGAAGATGCTGGATGACAGGAATGAGCTCAGTGTCCTCACGTTGAAGCTCAGCCATCCGCACCACATCGACGATGCCAAAAACCGGTAAATCTTGTTCAGTGTCAGATGACGTCAGGGAAATAGGAGCACGAGACAGGCAGTCAGCATCTGTATGCTTATGTCCTGATCAGTAGACTACCGTTATGTCGTACTCTTGAAGGTGTAGGCTCCAGCGGGCGAGGCAGCCTGATGGATCCCGTAGATTGGCAAGCCAACAGAGCGAATGATGGTCACTGACCGCTCGAAATGGCCGGCCGTATAGGGAGGGTCAAAACTTGTTATGGCCCAAACGATCCTAGGCACTGTTTTTCAGTGATAGAGTAGTTAGCTTCTGCTTTTGTGAGACTACGGCTCGCGTAAGCGATCACACGCTCTGCGTCGTTCTGCCATTGAACTAGAATGGCTCAGATTCCTATGTTGCTGGCTGTGATGGCTGCATTTCCGATGGAGGCGGAAATGTTGTACGTTAAAGAACCCCAGGTGGTCGAAATTTCCGGAGCCCTCCACTACGGCATCTCTCATAATCATATGGTGGTTTTGGGACGTTAAACCCGACATATCATATCAATTCCTATATTGCTGTCATTTGTCATATCATATCAATTCCTATATTGCTGTCATTTGTGTGAATCTCGGCGTCGGCAGTGTCGTCAAAATGGGCCACCACTGGAGCTGTCTGCAGTCGATTGCGTAGCTCTACGAAGGCTTGTCGTTGTTCTTTCGTCCATACGAAAGGCACATCTGGCTGTGTCAGTCTTGTAAGAGGTTCCGCAATTTTCGAAAATCCTTCGACAAAACGGCAGTAGTACGCACAGAGTCCAAGGAATCGCTGAACAGCCTTCTTGTCTCCAGGACTAGGGAAATCAGCAACGGCAGCCAACTTCTCCGGATCTAGTCAAACACCCCCCGGGCTCACCACGTGGCCGAGAAACTTGAGTTCCTGATAGCCGAAGTAGTACTTTTCGAGCTTGGTAGTAAGGTTCGCTCTTCTTATTGCAGTGAGGACACTTTTTAGCCTTAAAAGATGCTTGTCAAACATGCTTGAAAACACAACGACATCATGCAAGGTATACAAGACACGTCTGCCACTCAAGTCCACCTAGTACAGTGTCGATCATTCGTTGAAATGTGGCGGGAGCAGAACAGAGACCGAAAGGCAGCACTTTAAATTCGTAGAGCCTGTCGGGAGTCTTTACTAAGATGTCTTTGCTAAGACAACAGGTGATGCCCACGGACTTGTGGAGGATTTAATGACGTCATCATTCAGCATTTCTTGAACTTGACGCCTAATCACCTCTCTTTCCTTTGGGGACACACAGTATGGATGTTGGCAAAGAGGCCGCGCTGACTCCTCGGTAACAATGCGATGTTTTGCAACGGTGGTACGTTGAACTTTCGATGATGTGGAGAAGCAGTCCGAGAATTCCCTCACAAGGTTTAACAGCCGTTTTTTTCGTGAATCTAGCAAGTCTGGATTAACGTGAATAAGGCTTCCCAGGTCAGCACAAGCTTTTGCATGCGGTGAAGTCGTATCCAATGTGCCACTATCGGAAAAGTCGGCAATTTCACTGAGGAAAGCGACAGTAGTGCCACTAGGGACGTGCTGAAACTCATTGCTCAAGTTGGTCAGCAAAACTCGAGAGCATTTATTCTCTAATCGAACGAAGCATCGGGCTATGCAGATGTTTCGTTTGAGTAGCAGCGGGATATTTGCCTCTGCAATACCTTCATAATTGTTGAATTCATCAGAAATGGCGCAAGTTACCAAGGTCAACACGCTACTCTTCGGCGGTAATGCGACGTCATCGTCAAAAATTCTCAAAGCATTAACGTCACTGCAGGGAGGATTGCACGCTAAACCGTGTGCCGTAGAAAACGTCACCTGCGACTCTTGCAAGTCAATCACGGCTCCATTATCACGCAGAAAGTCCAGTCCGAGATTTAGGTCCCTCGAGCAACTCTGCAGTATTACAATATCTTCGAGATACGTAAATCCGTGAATACCGACTCGCGCTGTGCACCGTCCAACCGGAGTGAGAGGATGGCCTCTAGCCGTACGTATATGCGACCCAGCCCACTGGGTAGAAACCTTCTTCAGCCTGCAGGCAAGACCCATGCTCATAACGGAAGTGTCTGCTCCAGTGTCGGTTAGCGCCATTACTTCTTCTTCGTCCACAGTTACCGCAATGTTTGATGTCACTACTCTTTGTATCACATTTGACTGCGTCTGTACATTTTTTTGCTGCCGTCGCTGTCATCGTAGTGGAGGATCTTCCATAGAGTCAGCGTCAGCGGCCTGACTTCCGGAGGTCGTTGAACTCTGTTTTCCTGACTTGCAGGACTGGGTGAACGGCGATTTGGAGCGCCGCGTGTATAGGCTAGGCTCGGTTACCTGTAGCGAGCAGGCGACGACGAGCAGGTCTTTTGCGACCGATGTTCGATACTGCTACGATTCGAGATGAAACTCTCTATTTCCTGGGATCGCTCGCAAGGTTGTGGACAAGGGGCATTAGGCGAAAATCCACGGAGACCCATACGACAGTATGGACATGTTCGGTAGACGTGTCCAGCATCTCCGCAGTGGAAACAAAGGGGCCTGTCTGTGGTCACGTGAACACCAGATGCCACTCTTCCTCGGTCGTGCTTCGGCGATCAACGGCGGGCTCCAAGGACGAAAGTCTACCTCTATTGGCTGAGCGCGTCACTCATTGGGGTAAAACACGCTGGTTGAACTGCACGATGGAGGACATCGCACTGCTTCCGCGTAGCTCATTCCGACGCACTGTCCCTGTAGTGGCACCTCGGACTGTTGGGAACGTGAACGGCTTGCCGTAGCTCGGCGCATACCATCTCCGCAACGGAGAGCTGCTCTACAGGTGAAGCAGTCACCGGCATCTTTTGTAGCTCCTCCTTCATGAGAGCTCAGATAAGCTCTCGCAATGCGCTGATGTCATTGCCGAGAGTGACAGAAGTGACCTCACTTGGATGTACACCCCGGTTATACTGCCAGGCACGCTGTTGAAGGGCCCTCTCCACGGCAGTGGCTTCCTCATGGAACTCCGCAAGTGCCGCAGGAGGGTTTCGAATCAGGCCGGCAAGAATATCTTCTTTAACACCACACATTAAGTGGCGAACTTTCTTGGATTCGGCCATAAAGGGTTCCGCACACCTCAAAAGCCGATCCATGCCCGCTATGTAAGTTATCATCCTTTCGTTAGGGCCTTGAACCCTTGCCTCTATAGCACGCTCCGCTGTATCTTTCCTGTCCTCTCGGGCAAAGGCCTTGAGGAACTGCTGGTGAAACTCATCCCATAATGTGAGCGTTGCTTCATGGTTCTCACAGTACAATTTCGCGGAGTCCTCGAGAAAGCAGTATACATAGCCTAGCTTATGCTCTGGGGTCCAATCGTCAATGACGGCGACCTGGTTGAAATGTTTCAGCCAGTCGTCGGCATCTTCAAAAGCAGCTCCGTGAAATATCTTTGGCGTCTTGGGCTGGTTGACAACCAGGTGCGCTGGTGCTGGCGCGGTGACGTTAGGCAGTGTTTGATTCATAGTCCTCTGACGTTCAGGCAGCCAACCGTGCTGTGGCTCGAGTCCCTGGAGACAACGGCTGGAACAGACGTGCACAGGGGTCAGCTCGGCTGAGCTACTCGATGGACTTGCGTCAGGGATGCTCTCAGGGGACCGTATCATCTACTGTACCCCGCACCTCCACCAGACAATGTCACAAAAACACAGGGACGCAGGCACAAAAATAGGGCGTTTCCTTTCGTAACCCAAAGGCCAAAAGCACAAACACCAGAGCACGCACCCACCGAACTACTTCGTTATCCTCCTCAGAGGCTAGAACTATAGTTGCCAGCCTACCTCGCATCAACAATATTATACCACAGCCAATCTTTACATTATCGATACAAAGATTAAGGCCAACCTACAAAGGGGTAAATCGAATACTTGAAGAGAGAAATGGCAGCTTTTGTAAAACATGCTGCGTCACTGCATGGTTACCACTACAGTAACATGTGGTTTGCTTAGTATGCTTCATTTACAAGGGAAGCAACAATTTGTCATTGCCTGGTGCTGTAATCTATTCACAGAAAATCTGTGTGACATGGTTTTTATTGTTTTCTGCATTTGCTGTGGCTTTGCAGGTTCCTTGTCTTCGGTATCCCGTGAGCGGTACCATTCACTCGTGTCCGTCCAAGGCGGCCTAAATTCCTGCCGACAGTGCACCTATGTGACAGAGTACAGTGCAAGCATGAAAACGCCCATTCGCAGACACTGGACGAGCGCCCTTTCCTGTGCTACTTGTGTCCAGCTGCATTTTATCAAGAGAGTCATCTCACAGAACATATTCGTACGCACACAGGAGAGCATCCCTATTCCTGTGACGTATGCAACACATCATTCTTGCAAAAATATCACCTCATAACCCACATGCGTACTCACTCAAGAGAGCGTCCATATTCCTGCAACCATTGCAGTGCATCCTTCTCGCAAAAAATTGTCGTGAGACACATGCGCAACCACACAGCAGAGCGTCCTTTTTCTTGTGACCACTGCAGTGCATCCTTCTCACGAAATCAGAAACTCGTGCTGCTTGTGTCTCGTTGTCATGAAACCAACAGGCCGTAAAAGTGAGTAGTCAACAAGCTTTCTTAAAAGAGAAGGAAGTGTGCAAGGTGGGCGAG